TTAGGTGTTTAGGATGTATTTGCACTGTTTACCGTTCCGCGGTTCTAAGCACGACGAGACTGCATTATAAGAAATCGCTGAAACCCGTTGCGTATCTGGAATACCCACTTCCCAAAGAAAACACCGGTTGTCACGCCTGGCCCGTGATATTGCTGTCCGTTGTGCGTCGCGCTGTGCTGTGCTGTGAGTCTGGCAAAATGACTTGTCTGTGGGATGGAGTCTGGGAAGCTGACATCTGTGGGGAGACAGGTGACGGGCAGGAACATCCACATCAAGGCTCGGGGATTTTTACAGCATATTGATTAAAAACTGAAATAATAACCAGGAAGTACGTGAGCTTAGATTGAGAAATATCGTTAAATATTGAGCCAGTAGACGTGTTTTAGTCGTATGTGACCTTTGTATGGGCTCGACCGACACCTTGCCGACACCATCACACTGACCACGGGTACCTACGTACGTGTTTCGTCATAAGCGAAAGCTCGCAAGTTGAATGTTTTATACCTTCAGAAGGTGAGGTGAGGTGAGGAGAGGTGAGGTGAGATGCGGTGAGGTGAGGTGAGGTGAGGTGAGATTAGGTGAAGATGAGGTGAGGTGAGGTGAGGTGAGGTGAGATGAGGATTAACTTCCCTTTCAACATTATTACACTGATACTGCGATGTGCATGCACGCGTGTGTGGCTGAATGTACTAGTCCAGACGAATGCAAGTGTTACAGTGCTAGCCTACTTTGATACCATGACGCAGTTGAACAGGGATACCGCTCAGACATAGTATACAACACTCCCATCTGTCGCAAGAACCTGTAAGAATGTAGTTTGTAGCAGACATTTAGTGCATTTTATTGGGGTAAACAGGGCTATCGTTTAGTGGAATTTTGGAGGTACCCAAATCTACCCATTCACCTCAGGGCGCCGTTGTACAAAACAACATTAGACCCACGACTGTCTAAAGTCTATGTTAAGGTATGAGAGTTACGATCACCTTAGCGCTAAGATCGCTTTGTACAACGGCGCCATGTCCTCGCTGGTTTGTTCAGTTGTCAATGTCAACAACAACCAGTTCTCGCGGTAACGATGAGATTCATATGAACTAAAAAAACAACATATTTCGCCCATGGCATGGTTAACACATGTGTTTTAGATGAGACGGGCTATCAGACACTCAGGTGTGAACACGGGCACCTGTCAACACACACATGATGTTAGTCTAATGTCACGGGACTGTATAATTAACGCGCAAGCTTTTATTGTGAGCTTTAATTCGTGTGGCGCTGTCGTAGAGGCGTAGAGACGTTGATTCAGTAAGATGTTGCCGATGTCGTGCTGGTCAAGGGTGGGTGTGTGCATGGTCCTGTTGTGGTCATTCGTTGCTCGGACAAAAGGTAATATGTACCAGCACGGGGAGCACGTTGTTATAGGGTACCTTGAACTGGCGCTGTCCCTGGATGTATTAGCCAGCATCCTGTGTGATATCGATGTTATTGTATTTATCATTCAGAATCCCGTGCGAATCAATGTTACAGTATATACAACGCTGCGTGAATCGTGATGTCAATATTACAGTATATATCAAACTGCATGTTGTGTGATATCAATGTTACAGTATATATCACGCAGCGTGAATCGTGATGTCAATATTACAGTATATATCAAACTGCATGTTGTGTGATATCAATGTTACAGTATATATCACGCTGCATGAATCGTGATGTCAATGTTACAGTATATATCAAACTGCATGTTGTGTGATGTCAATGTTACACTATATATCACGCTTCACGTATCGTGATGTCAATGTTACAGTATGTATCACGCTGAATGCCTCGTACTGTCAATGTTACACTATATATCACGCTGCATGGTCTCGTGATGTCAATTATACAGGATGTATCACGCTGCACGTAATGTTACAGTAATGTGACGTCAAAGTTACATTATGCATCACGCTGAATACCTCGTGAAGTCAATGTTACACTTTTTATCACTTTGTATGCCTCGCGATGGAAAGGTTTAGAATATATCGTGTTGCGCGCTTCATGACGTTGATATAACAGTATATATCACGGTGCATGGTCTCATTGTGTCAATGTTACAGTTTATGTTACGCTGTATGCCTCGTGATGTCAGTGTCAAAGTATGTATCACGCTGCATGCCGTGTTACATCAATGTTACACTATATATCACGGTACATGTCTCGTGATATCAATGATACAGTATATATCACGCTGCATGCCGTGTTACATCAATGATACAGTATATATCACACTGCATGCCGTGTAACATCAATGTTACAGTATATATCACGCTGCATGCCGTGTTACATCAATGACACAGTATATATCACGCTGCATGACGTGTTACATCAATGACACAGTTTATATCACGCTGCATGCCGTGTTACATCAATGACACACTATATATCACGCTGCATGCCGTGTTACATCAATGTTACGATATATATCACGGTACATGCCTCGTGATATCAATGACACAGTATATATCACGCTGCATGCCGTGTTACATCAATGACACAGTATATATCACGCTGCATGCCGTGTTACATCAATGACACAGTATATATCACGCTGCATGCCGTGTTACATCAATGTTACACTATATATCACGGTACATGTCTCGTGATATCAATGACACAGTATATATCACGCTGCATGCCGTGTTACATCAATGACACACTTTATATCACGCTGCATGCCGTGTTACATCAATGACACATTATATATCACGCTGCATTCCGTGTTACATCAATGACACAGTATATATCACGCTGCATGCCGTGTTACATCAATGATACAGTATATATCACGCTGCATGCCGTGTTACATCAATGACCCACTATATATCACGCTGCATGCCGTGTTACATCAATGACACATTATATATCACGCTGCATGCCGTGTTACATCAATGACACAGTATATATCACGCTGCATGCCGTGTTACATTAATGATACAGTATATATCACGCTGCATGCCGTGTGATCCCAGGTGTGGGTGTCGTCATAGGTCCAGTCAACTGCCCACAACACCCGGCCGCCACCCGGCACTTCTACGACTCCACCACCAACAAGTGCTACCACTTCTTCGACGTAGACGACACCCTGGAGGAGGCTGTCAGTCGATGTGAGGCGGAAGACACAAGAGTTGTCGAACTTGGGACAAAAGAAGAACAGAACTGGCTTGTTGGGGGAGTCTGTGGCATTCGAGGTACGAATAACAATTTATTTTCACCTTCAGTAAAAACCATTGACAAAAGGGATATGCTGTCGTCATGCTAATGTCTATCTTGTCTGAGGAAATTGGGATTAGCTCCGTGATGAAAACTGTTGATATCAATGGCATGGTGGGTAATTTTTTTTTTTTTTAAAGTAAAGAAATTCTAGAAAACCCTGAAATTACCCGTCATTCCAATACATCCCATATCGTGAAGTCAGCAAGTCTTTATTCAAGGGCCCTGACACGAGGGATATAGTATCTCGGGAATTCTCGAGATTAACAAAACAACTCGGGAAAATTAGAACAGCAATGTTAAGGTCCAATTATCCTGTAATATAACGTAGGGGTGTGATGCAGTAAAACTTACGTCATTCTACAGGGGCGGTCGGGTAGCCTAGTGGTTAAAGCGTTCGCTCGTCACGCCGAAGACCCGGGTTCGACTCCCGACATGGGTACAATGTGTGAAGTCCATTTCTGGTGTCCCCCACCGTGATATTGCTGGAATATTGCTAAACGCGGCGTAAAACCATACTCACTCACTTACGTCATTCTACATAGTATACTGCACACAACGGAGGGAATACTGGTTCTTGCTGTGGTGAGTACCATGACAACAAGTGTGCCACTGAGCTTACTTAAGCACTTGACTCCATTGCCGAAAATACGATTTCGTCTCCGCTTCCTTTCAGCCCGTTGAGGGGCGGTCGTGTAGCCAAGTGGTTAAAGCGTTCGCTCGTCACGCCGAAGACCCGGGTTCCATTCCCGACATGGGTAAAATGTGTGTAGCCCTTTTCTGATGTCCTCTGCCGTGATATTGCTGGAATATTGCTAAAGGCGGCGTAAAACCATACCCACTCACTCACTCACTCACTCCAGCCCGTTGGGGCTGGGTACAAGAAGAATAGAGGGCCACGTGGTCCGATGGCATGGGACGTTGTGTGTTGCTTGCCGTTGAGAAGCATTATCTGTTTACTGGCGTCCCGTCTTTCAATATACGGCAGTATTGATCATTTTCTGATAATACTCAAACACAATGCATCTGCAATGTGTTTTTTTAACCTTTTCGTGTCGTTGACGGTATGAGTAAGTATGCTTTTACGCCGCTTGTAGCAATATCCCCGCAATATCACGGCGGGGAACACCAGAAATGGGCTTCATACATTGTACCCATGTGGAATAGCACCCTGGTCTTCCGCGTGTGGAGCGAGCGCTTTACTATTAAGTTACCTCGCCGCCCCGCTGACAGGTATTACTGGGACCAACCTTGAAGCAAAAGTTGAAGGCAATGACCAATATATAGTCATGACCATTTGGCGCCAATATTCACATTCTGCCCCTTACTTTTCCAAGAATAACAAAAGAGTGAGTATGGTTTTACGCCGCTTTTAGCAATATTCCAGCAACATCACAACGGGGGACACACATTGCACCAATGTCTACCCGACCGCCCCTGGAACAAGTGAATGGAAAGTTGCAATGCTTCTTTGGTGCTCTGTCACTATGAAAATGATCCCAGGTCTTCGGCGTGATGAGAGAACGTTTTAACCACTAGGATACCCCACCGCTCAATAACAAAACACCGTTAAAGCCATGTTTCTTAGACAATCATTGATAAATACATAAATGTTATCCTCGAACTTCCACTGTACACTTACCGTTTGTATCATGGGCCTATGGCCTACAATACACTTGAATAAAGACTACTACTACAACAAAACACCGGCTCCTCATATAAAGTGCTTCTGTCCAATAGGGATGGGCTGCCGTCCTCTCATCCTATGGATGGGTCTGGTCCGACAATCCCCCGACACCTGGAGCTGGTTCTACAAGAGCAACCGATGGCTTGTGGTCTCGCCTCGGTGGATACAATCGCCTCTTTCCTCTTCTCCCGGATACACGCGAGCAGTCACGGACTGGGACGGAAAGTGGCGAGCCGTGACGAGTGGACAAAAAGCCAAAGTTGTGTGTGAAGAAGTAACAGCAGGTATTTTTCTTTGTTTTATTGCAGTAGCAGTAGTGGTAAATGTTGTGGTAGGTGTAGAAGTGGTAGATGCGGTAGTGGTCGGTGTAGAAGTGGTAAGTGTGGTGGTGGTAGGTGTAGAAGTAGTAGCTGTGGTGGTGTCGGTGTGGAAGTGGCAGCTGTGGGTGTGGTAGGTGTAGAAGTGGTAGGTGTGGTAGTGGTAGATGTAGAAGTGGTAGCTGTGGTGGTGGTAGGTGTAGAAGTGTTAGCTGTGTAGGTGGTAGGTGTATAAGTAGTAGCTGTGGTGGTGGTAGAAGTAGAAGTGGTAGGTGTGGTAGCGGTAGGTGTAGATGTGGTTGGTGTGGTGGTGGTAGGTGTAGAAGTGGTAGGTGTGGTTGTGGTAGGTGTAGAAGTGGTAGCTGTGGTTGTGGTAGGTGTATAAGTGGTAGGTGTGGTTGTGGTAGGTGTAGAATGGTAGGAGTGGTTGTGGTAGGTGTAGAAGTGGTAGGTGTGGTAGTGGTAGGTGTAGAAGTGGTTGGTGTGGTGGTGGTAGGTGTAGAAGTGGTAGGTGTGGTGGTGGTAGATGTAGAAGTAGTAGCTGTGGTTGTGGTAGGTGTATAAGTGGTAGGAGTGGTGGTCGTAGGTGTATAAGTGGTAGGAGTGGTGGTCGTTGGTGTAGAAGTGGTAGGTGTGGTAGCGGTAGGTGTATAAGTGGGTAGGTGTGGTGGTGGTAGGTGTAGAAGTCGTAGGTGTGGTTGTTGTAGGTGTAGAAGTGGTTGGTGTGGTGGTGGTAGGTGTAGAAGAGATTGCTGTGGTGGTGGTAGGTGTAGAAGTGGTAGCTGTGGTGTTGGTGGATGTAGAACTAGTAGGTGTGGTGGTGGTAGATGTAGAAGTGGTAGGTGTGATGGTGGTAGGTGTAGAAGTGGTAGGTGTGGTTGTGGTAGATGTAGAAGTGGTTGGTGTGGTGGTGGTAGGTGTAGAAGAGATTGCTGTGGTTGTGGTAGGTGTAGAAGTGGTAGCTGTGGTGTTGGTGGATGTAGAACTAGTAGGTGTGGTGGTGGTAGATGTAGAAGTGGTTTCTGTGGTTGTGGTAGGTGTAGAAGTAGTAACTGTGGTTGTGGTAGGTGTATAAGTGGTAGGAGTGGTGGTGGTAGGTGTAGAAGTGGCAGGTGTGGTAGCGGTAGGTGTATAAGTGGTAGGTGTGGTGGTGGTAGATGTAGAAGTGGGTTGGTGTGGTGGTGGTAGGTGTAGAAGTGGTAGCTGTGGTTGTGGTAGGTGTATAAGTGGTAGGAGTGGTGGTGGTAGATGTAGAAATAGTAGCTGTGGTGGTGGTAGATGTAGAAGTGGTAGCTGTGGTGGTGGTAGATGTAGAAGTGGTAGCTGTGGTTGCGGTAGGTGTAGAAGTGGTAGCTGTGGTTGTGGTAGGTGTGGTAGTGGTAAGTGTAGAAGAGATTGCTGTGGTGGTGGTGGGTGTAGAAATAGTAGGTGTGGTGGTGGTAGATGTAGAAGTAGTAGCTGTGGTGGTGGTAGATGTAGAAGTGGTAGCTGTGGTGGTGGTAGATGTAGAAGTAGCTGTGGTGGTGGTAGGTCTAGAAGTAGTAGCTGTGGTGATAGCTGTGGTGGTGGTAGGTGTTGAAGTAGTAGCTGTGGTGGTAGGTGTAGAAGTAGTAGCTGTTGTGGTAGGTGTAAAAATAGTAGCTGTTGTGGTAGTAGGAGTAGATGTAGTTGTTGTGGTTGTGGTAGGTATGGTTGCTGTGGTGGTGGTGTTGCTAGGTTTAGAAGGGGCAGCTGTGGTAGTGGTGGTAGGTGTAGACGTAGTAGGTGTGGTGGTGGTAGGTGTAGAAGTGGCAGCTGTGGTAGTGGTCGGTGTAGAAGTGGTTGCTGTGGTATTGCTGGGTTTAGAAGGGGCAGCTGTGGTAGTGGTAAGTGTAGAAGAGATTGCTGTGGTGGTGGTTGTGATGGTGGTGGGTGTAGAAATGGTTATATGTTTGTAGTAGTCGTAGTCGTAGTCGTAGTCGTAGCCGATTTGTAAGTGAGAAATGTCCTCAGTAACAGTTATTGTAGTGTTATTTGTAATGTGACATCTTGGGCACCGAAGGACTCTCAGAGAGCGATTGTATGTCTGTAAAAGTTATAAACCCCTGAACACCTGGTAGATCTTCTCTGACGCGTTGTCTGTTCTTGTATAAGATAGCTGCGCGATACATCGCAAAGAACAATGAAGAATAATTAAATTTTCCTTGGGTTCATTGAAATTCCTGCATTCTGATTAGCTGAAATGGTCACGTGTTATTGTATTCATTTCCCAATGATTGTAAACACTTTAGCCAGGCCCACCGAAGCGGACTACTTTTGTAAATGGATATAGCTCGATTATATATAATGTCTGTAGAAGTTCTATGCATAACTTATATAAGAATGAAAACAGAATTTGATGCGTGTAACTATCTTGTTTGGTTTAATAAAATGGTTGTAAATATCTCTCGCTCTCATGAATTTCTTCAGTTCTGCCTTTTAGTTGCAAAATGAATGACGAATCGCGATTGTTTATGAATGAAAAAAGTAGTCTCGGTGTGACAGAGGTCACGGTTTTCCAATCAAAACGGATAAAACAAGGTCAACCTTGTTGGACACACGTGTGACGTACGGATTTAGTATCTTACCACCTGTATCATCACCACGTGGGTAATAAAAGAAATAATCGTCGTCAGTATATAATATACCATATAAGTAGGGTAATTCTGTTTGTAAGTGACGTCATATCTAACAGTATGACGTCATAATATCCGTACTGATTAATAAACGAGTAAATCTTCTAGAAGGATGGTAATTCTCGGGGTAAGCAGCAGTTGTTGAAGCGAATATGAAAATAGAGGCGACAAAAGGTAATGTAATATTACTGTGTTCGAATGAGTGAGTGAGTATGGTTTTACGCTGCTTTTTAGCAATATTCGAGCAATATCACGGCGGGTGACACCAGAAATGGGCTTCACACATTGTACCCATGTCGGGAATCGGACCCGGGTCTTCGGCGTGACGAGCGAACGCTTTAACCACTAGGCTACCCGACCGCCCCTGTTCGAATGAGAAGCATGAGAGTGTGTATTTCAGTCCTATCACTGCAGGCAAGCAGGTCGTTGATGTTGACGAAAGGCACGAGTGTGGTGCTGATAAACCAAGGACCATAGTTGGGGCGAAACTAGGATTCGAACGTGAAACCAGTGGGTGTTGGTACGGCTTAGGGATGCAGCTTCCTCCTCATTCCAGCCCCACATTAACATGCACAGATTACACAAGGTAAACACAGTAATTCTGTCCCATGTCCATATAAATATTTTGTTCCTATTGTGATGTTTAATGCATGTTGTTCTCCCAGGGGATATGCCGCCAACATCACCTCCACCTCCCCCAACACCGCCTGCAACATCGCCGCCCCCAACACAGCCCGCAACATCGCCGCAAAAAAAACTGAAAACACCGAGCGCATGCGCAAAAGTTGGGCGCGAAGCAGACGACTTCGCCATCACAAACTTTGAGCAACTGTCCTCCAGCGTGCTGGTCGTTGAGATGAACGTGACAAGAAGGAAATCAAGGCTGGCGTGTGCTGTGGCCTGCTCCAGGAAACAACGTTGTGTGATGTTCAAGAAGCAGCCGGGCAGTCGAGAGTCGTGTTACACGTACAGTCTGTCCAGCACCGGGTCTCCTGCGGACTGTGCGGGCAGCCCGCCACCATGTTACTGGAAGTCCTGCTGGCGTCCGGAGCTGTGACGCCCGTGTCATCTCACTGGACCATATATCATGTACAACCCGTCCTGCTGGCGTCCGGAGCTGTGACGCCCGTGTCATCTCACTGGACCATATATCATGTACAACCCGTCCTGCTGATGTCCGGAGCTGTGACGCCCGTGTCATCTCAGGTCACGTACTACCTGTCCTGCTGGCGCCCGGAGTGTCCAGCTGGTAGACTGAATGTGACATTGCTCTGAGATGACAAGCCGATAGTATTCAATATTTACCAGGAATATTTACATCATCATTTAAATTTACAATAAACAACAGCTGACATGTTGATCTGTGACGCCCATGTCATCTCACTACACTATATATCGTGGCATGTAGTATCTGTCCCTGGGTGGTGGGAAAGCCAAACGTTCGGTGGTCACCCGGACCGATTCCCGACATGGGTACAATGTGCGAGGCCCATTTCTGCTGTCCCCCGCCGTGGTTTTGCTGGAATATTGCTAAAAGCGGCATAAAACCATACTCGCTCACCCACTTCCTGGCCGACATCATGTCAGATGATTTGTACCTGGTCACTTTCAAATGGAATGAACTCTACCACTGCTCAGCACAGACTGGAACAAGTGAGTGAGTGAGTGTCGTTTTACGCCGCTTTTAGCAATATTCCAGCAATACCACGGCGGGGGACAGCAGAAATGGGCTTCACACATTGTACCAATGTCGGGAATCGAACCCGGGTCTTCGGCGTGACGAGCGAACGCTTTAACCACTAGGCTACCCGACCGCCCCTGGAACAAGTGAATGAAAAGTTGCAACGCTTCTTTGGTGCTCTGTCACTATGTTTACTGCACACCAATTGAAAACCAACAGCAGAGTGGACAGCTCTGAGTGTATAATGTATGACGTTTCATTTGTGTAATGTACAATGTTGATAAACTAGAACAAACCGTCGCTGCAAGCGTGTAGAAGGACCGACGTGGGGAAGAATGGGTTTACCTTTTCGAGAACAACTGGTATCTTCAATATTCATATTGATTAATAAACTGCCGGGAACGTAGAATGTACCCTCATGCTTATGGAAAGGGTGTCTCGCTTCTATAGCCATTTGCATAGTGTAGTACCGTTGGTGCGAAACAGAAAGATATGTGTGTATTACATCGTGAAGTACCGTTGGTGCGAAACAGAATGATCTGCGTGTTTTACATAATGCAATTGAGATACGATGAAATGCATCAACCATGTGATCCTGTTACCTCGTTGGGGGCACGGGTGGCCCAGTCGTCTAAGGCGCCGCGATTCGCTGTGCGGAGCTGCGTCCCTTGGGCACGCCAGAAACCTATCATCTTGGGTTTGAATCCCGGTTCACCCCGATTATGTTTCTAGGTTTGTCAGCACCATGGCCGTGCTCGTGGGTTTCACCGAAGTGGTAAACTTCTGAGACCTGCATCACTTCGGGCTTTCCTCCCATATTAAGTTGACACGCCGTGATATAATTGGAATACTGTTGAACGCGGCGTAAAACCAACTCACTCACTCGCTGTTACCTTATCGGGTGTTAAAGTCACATGGAAATGGGATAATGTTCGGCAAGAGTGGCTCAGGTATTGCTTCCCATGGTGGTGTGTTATTACATGCCGCAAAGTAGGGGTTCCTGTACACTTTACCATCCGTGTTGTAGACGAGATGAAATCCAGAGACGTTTACACACGCATCGGTACAGGGATTAACAGAGTCCGGGCAGCTTGTAACGTGGGTGACATGCCCGAAACCAAACATTACCTGACGAAAGAAAGTTCGTATCGTGGTTGTTTACAGCCATATCTGACAATTTGATTGTATCACCTACAACAAAGTGGTGCCAACAAAACAAACCCCGTGAAGTCTTTGATGTTTGTTTGTTTGTTTGTTGTTTAACGCGGCACTCAGCAATATTCAAGCTATATGACGGCGGTCTGTAAGTAATTGAGTCTGGACCAGACAATCCAGTGATTGATATCATTAGCATCAATCCAGCGGGCCTGACCACCCGATCCCGTCAGTGGTCTCCGGCTTGGAATACTCCCGTGGACACTCAGTCACAGCATGTTGTTGTTGGTTTGTTGTTTAACGCCGCATTCAGCAATATTCCAGCTATATGACGACGGAGTGTAAATAATCGAGTCTGGATCAGACAAATCCTGTGATTGACATCATGACCATCGATCCATGCAATTGGGAACGATGACATTCAGCGACATGCGAGCTTGACCACCAGATCCCGTTAGTCGCCTCTTACGACAAGCATAGTCGCCTTTAGGGCAAGCATGTGCTGCTAAAGACCTATTCTATAATGACCTGCCCATATAAATATTTTGTTCCTATTGTGATGTTTATTGCATGTTGTTCTCCCAGGGGATATGCCGCCAACATCACCTCCACCTCCCCCAACACCGCCTGCAACATCGCCGCAAAATAAACCGAAAACACCTAGCGCATGCGCAAAAGTGGGGCGCGAAGCAGACGACATCGCCATCACGAACTTTGAGCAACTGTCCTCCAGCGTGCTGGTCGCTGAGCTGAACGTGACAAGAAGGAAATCAAGGCTGGCGTGTGCTGTGGCCTGCTCCAGGAAACAACGTTGTGTGATGTTCAAGAAGCAGCCGGGCAGTCGAGAGTCGTGTTACACGTACAGCCTGTCAAAGTCAAAGTCAAAGATGTTTATTGTATCAAAGGCCATCGGCCCATATACAAGTTCAGATAAATACAGTGGGTGAGAATTTACAGATTGGGAGATACAACAAAAATTATATAAATATAACATTCATTTAACAATCGGTGATAATCATGAGGACTTTCTAGGGTGAGGTAATTAAAATTATGAATTTCCACTCAACATGTTATTTCGTAGTTCCATCCCATGTTTTACAAATAAAGACAGTTTAAACATTACATCGGCATCATTCGATGACAAAATAGAAACAAAAGCTATTCTACTTGTCTTAGATAAGAAACATTCTGGTATATATTTAGTACGTAATTCTGCATAATAAGGACATTCAAAGGTAAAATGTATTTCGTCTTCTATTGCAGAGTTACAGAATGGACAAATTTTTTGTATTCTTTCAAGTGATATATTCCGTCCATAGTTAATCATAAGTTTTGACAAGCCAAGTCTGTATTTAATATATCCATTTCTTAGGTGACTATTTGTTAAAACTGATAGATATTTTTCTGGCTCTAATAGAGTCTTAAATGTTCTGTACAAATCATAACGTGAACTATTTTCCAAGTTGCATTGCCACCCTTGATAGAACATATTTATTGCTATTTTACGAAAATCATTTAGAAATAAATGTTGATCACCAACAGATTGGTTAAGCCATATATACCCATATCCATGTGAGAATAATAGTGTCCTAATATGCGATACCCATGTAACCTTACCGATACTATCTAAATGAAAGAGCATGTTATAAGCTTTTTTCGGAAGCCGATGTTCTGGCATACGGATGATATTAAACCAATATTTTAAACACTTTATTTGTGAATTAATGTAAAGTGGGTATCTTCCACATTCTCCATATATCATATTATTTGGTGTTGCTATTCCAACGCGAAGAAACTTTTTACATGCCAGTAGGTGAATTCTTTCTAAACATTCATATCTTCGGTAACCCCACACTTCAGATCCATACAATGTCCAGCACCGGGTCTCCTGCGGACTGTGCGGGCAGCCCGCCACCATGTTACTGGAAGTCCTGCTGGCGTCCGGAGCTGTGACGCCCGTGTCATCTCACTGGACCATATATCATGTACAACCCGTCCTGCTGGTGTCCGGAGCTGTGACGCCCGTGTCATCTCACTGGACCATATATCATGTACAACCCGTCCTGCTGATGTCCGGAGCTGTGACGCCCGTGTCATCTCAGGTCACGTACTACCTGTCCTGCTGGCGCCCGGAGTGTCCAGCTGGTAGACTGAATGTGACATTGCTCTGAGATGACAAGCCGATAGTATTCAATATTTACCAGGAATATTTACATCATCATTTAAATTTACAATAAACAACAGCTGACATGTTGATCTGTGACGCCCATGTCATCTCACTACACTATATATCGTGGCATGTAGTACCTGTCCCTGGGTGGTGGGAAAGCCAAACGTTCGGTCGTCACCCGGGACCGATTCCCCACATGAGTACAATGTGCGAGGCCCATTTCTGCTGTCCCCCGCCGTGGTGTTGCTGGAATATTGCTAAAAGCGGCATAAAACCATACTCGCTCACCCACTTCCTGGCCGACATCATGTCAGATGATTTGTACCTGGTCACCTTCAAATGGAATGAACTCTACCACTGCTCAGCACAGACTGGAACAAGTGAGTGAGTGAGTGTCGTTTTACGCCGCTTTTAGCAATATTCCAGCAATACCACGGCGGGGGACAGCAGAAATGGGCTTCACACATTGTACCAATGTCGGGAATCGAACCCGGGTCTTCGGCGTGACGAGCGAACGCTTTAACCACTAGGCTACCCGACCGCCCCTGGAACAAGTGAATGAAAAGTTGCAATGCTTCTTTGGTGCTCTGTCACTATGTTTACTGCACACCAATTGAAAACCAACAGCAGAGTGGACAGCTCTGAGTGTATAATGTATGACGTTTCATTTGTGTAATGTACAATGTTGATAAACTAGAACAAACCGTCGCTGCAAGCGTGTAGAAGGACCGACGTGGGGAAGAATGGGTTTACCTTTTCGAGAACAACTGGTATCTTCAATATTCATATTGATTAATAAACTGCCGGGAACGTAGAATGTACCCTCATGCTTATGGAAAGGGTGTCTCGCTTCTATAGCCATTTGCATAGTGTAGTACCGTTGGTGCGAAACAGAAAGATATGTGTGTATTACATCGTGAAGTACCGTTGGTGCGAAACAGAATGATCTGCGTGTTTTACATAATGCAATTGAGATACGATGAAATGCATCAACCATGTGATCCTGTTACCTCGTAACAATTGAGGACATGTAACATGTGGGCATGGACTTAGGCAGCTCAGGAACACATCTGACAATTATTTGACGATGCCGGTCAATTCCATACCAAGGAATACCTGTTTCACAGATACGATATCGTCATCGGCAATCATAAATGCAGGATTTATAGAAACGCTGTACTAGGGGCAGTTGGACAGCATACTTATCTTTAAGATTTATCTTATCCAGATAATGTTGATGAGACCCCTAAAATGAATGGAGTAGTTATATCAAAAGTAGCTTAGCAAAAGCAAAGTATTGGTATTCGTATTTCGTCAGCCACATCAGTTTAAATATTGATTTATACACAAAATATCAGCGATTTG